TATCTCCAGTAATGGGTATAAGCAAGCCTCAGCCTCCTGAGTAGCTGAGACTACAGGTGTGAACCACCATGCCCGGCTAATTTTTATTGGGGATTCACCATGTTGGCCAGGCTGGTCTCAAACTCCTGACTTTGTGATCTGCCGGACTCAACCTCACAAAGTGCTGGGATTACAGATGTGAGCCACCATGCCCAGCCAGGTGTTTGTTTTTGACAGGTAGACTTTACTAGACGTTACAGGGTATGAGTTCAAATGATCAAACTCTGTTATAGCTACATAAAAACCCTTCAATAATTTGTGTTTGATAATCAATCCAGAGCACCTTCAGGGTACAGCTGTATGAGCCCCTCCTCTGCTCCAGGGTCCTATATATAGATCTGGGTTCAAATCCCACCTTTGCTACTTCACCATTGCTTCTTAGTCAATCTCTCTGGGATTCAGTTTTTTTTATCTATTTAGCAGACAGAAAGCTAATATGGGCAACCTGGGCCAGTGCAGGAGGCAGGGGAAGCCTCAGGTCTTGTAGCTTTTGCTGCAGTGATGATGCAGAGATGCAGCAGAGACCTTTATCAACCATGTAGCTTTTTTTTTTTTTTAAAGATGGGGTTTCACCATGATGGCCAGGCTGGTCTCGAACTCCTGACCTCAGGTGATCCACCCATCTCAGCCTCCCAAAGTGCTAGGATTACAGGTGTGAGCCACGGCGCCTGGCCAAGCTCTTACCCCTGCCAGGCATGGACAAGGGGACTACCATTAACCCGATCTTGCAGATGAGGAAACAAAGGCACTGGGAGGTAAAGAACGGGACCCAGGCTGGGCGCAGCGGCTCAAGCCTGTAATCCCAGCACTTTAGGAGGCCAACGTGAGTGGATCGCCTGAAGCCAAGAGAGCTCCCTCCTTTCCCCCTTTCCTCTTCTCTTATCCTCCTCCCCACTTCTCCTACCACAGCAGACCTCTCCTCTGGCCCTCCTCAGAGCCCACGTGGTGTTTTGGACATTCCCCTTCCCATTGCACACCTCAGTTTCCCCACCTGTAATGCAGTGGTTCTGGATTCTCATCCAGGGAGATGGCAGCAGGGGAGGACTCATGTTTCCTGTTTGGGTGGCTGTGACTATTCTTTTCTGACACAGCTCCTGGTGCTATACACAGGAGTCTTTCAAGGGTATACAGGCACCCAGCAGGTCGCAGGGGCTGATAGTGTCAACTTGACTAGATAAGGCCAGGTTTCCAAAATGGTGGCACCAATTCACAGCCCTATCTGCAGCCCCATCTCACCCACACTTTTTTTTTTTTTTTTTTTGAGATGGAGTTTCACTCTTGTTACCCCGGCTGGAGTGCAATGGCGCGATCTCGGCTCACCGCAACCTCCACCTCCTGGGTTCAGGCAATTCTCCTGCCTCAGCCTCCTGAGTAGCTGGGATTACAGGCACGCGCCACCATGCCCAGCTAATTTTTTGTATGTTTAGTAGAGACGGGCTTTCACCATTTTGACCAGGATGGTCTCAATCTCTTGACCTCGTGATCCACCCGCCTCGGCCTCCCAAAGTGCTGGGATTACAGGCTTGAGCCACTGCGCCCGGCCTCACCCTCACTTATTATTGACGGATGTATACCCATCGTTCTGATGACTATCAAGTGACATTTCCGGGTGGTTGGGGTTTGCCTCTCCCTGGTTACTGATGAGGCTGGACATCTTTCCATGTGGTTTTGGCTGTTGCTGTAGCTTCCCATCCAATTTGCATGCCCATTTTCCATTGGATTGCCTCTCTTGAGCACTCATGAGACTTCTTTACATATCCTTGATGGTAATCCTTTTTTGATTATGTTTCACAAATATCTTCTCCCCATTTGGTCTTGTCTGTTCATTTTATGATGTCCTGTTTTTCTTTTAACTTTTTATTTTGACATAATCTCAGACTTACATCAAAAAGTTGCATGAATAGTGCAAAGAATTTCTTCATACCCTTTACCCCAGTTCTCCAAATGTTAACACTTGACATTTGCATCCCTCTCTCTTTCAGTGCCCCCATATATACACACACATCTCCCCTCCCGCTCCCTGAGCCTCAACTCACTTGTGAGTAAGGGGCAGAATGCTGCCTTTTTACTCCTAAATACTTCAGTAAATAAATATTTCTTTCTTCTTTTTTTGATTTGGGGTCTCACTCTGTCACCCAGGCTGGAGTGCACTGGCACCATCTCAGCTCACTGTAACCTCTGCCCGCCCTGATTCAAGCAATTCTCCTGCCTCAGCCTCTCGAGTAGCTGGGATTACAGGCACCTGCCACTGTGCCCTGCTAATTTTTTGTAGTTTTAGTAGAGATTGGGTTTCACCTTCTTGGCCAGGCTTATCTTGAACTCCTGACCTCGTGATCCACCAGACTCGGCCTACCAAAGTGCTGGGATTACAAGTGTGAGCCACTGCACCCGGCCTTTTTTTTTTGAGATGAAGTTTCACTCTTGTTTCCCAGGCTGGAATGCAGTGGTACAATATCTACTCACTACAACCTCCCAGGTTCAAGCAGTTCTCCTGCCTCAACCTTCTAAGTAGCTGGGATTACAGGCATATGCCATCACGCCCAGCTAATTTTTTTATTTTTAGTAGAGATGAGGTTTTGCCATGTAAATCAGGCTGGTATCAAACTCCTGACCTTAGGTGATCCACCCACCTTGGCCTCCCAGAGTGCTGGGATTACAGGTGTGAGCCACCACACCTGGACCCATGTATATTTCTTAAAAATAAAAACATTCTCCTATATGTAAACATTACCACTGAACAAGTTTCAAAATCAGGAAATTAACACTGAAATACTACCATTATCTAATCTACAGACTTTTTTCAGATTTCATCAATCATACTAGTAATGTCCCTTGGAGCTAGGGTCCCCAACCCCTGGTATCAGTCCATGGCCTATTAGGAACCGGGCCGCACAGCAGGAGGTGAGCGGTGGGTGAGCGAGCATTACCACCTGAGCTCTCCCTCCCGTCAGATCAGCTGCATTAGGTTCTCTTAGGAGCGAGACTCCTATTGTGAACTGTGCAGGTGAGGGATCTAGGTTGTCTGCTCCTTATGAGAATCTAATTCCTGATGATCTGAGGTGGAACAGTTTCACCCCCAAACCATCCCCTGCTCCTCATCCATGGAAAAATCATTTTCCATGAAACCAGTTCCTAGTCCCAAAAAGGTTGGGGACTGCTGCCTTAGAGCAAAAGAAGATCCCATATCACACGTTATACTTCTTTAGCATACTAAAAAGGTTATGTCTACATCTTTTTACACTTTAATCTAGAATCTATTTCTTTGTGCTTCATAAAACTGACATTTTGGAGATTATAAACCAGTTATTTCATTGAATGTCCTTCAGTTTGGGATTGTCTAATGTTTCCTTGGGATTGAAGTAATGAATTTTGAGTACTGTGTCCTAAGGGCATCATACCAGCAGGCACATGATCTAGATTTCTCTCATTGCTGGTGATATTAAACTTTACCGCTTGGTTAAGGTGAGGTCTACTAAGTTTCTCCATATAAAGTTACTATTTTTCCCTTTGTGATTATTATCTAGGGGAGATACCATGGGACTGTGTACCCTATTACTTTATTTCTCAAGCCTACTCCTTTTTATGTCCACTGATGATTTTCATTGAATTATTAATGTGGTTGCCAAATAGTGGTTTTTTTAATTTTATCATTCCTCATACCTCATACATATATCAGTTGGCTTCTGGATTTTTTTTTGGTTTGTGTTTTTGGCTTTGTTTTTTTTTTGAGATGGAGTCTCTCTTTGTAGTCCAGGCTGGCATGCAGTAGCACCATCTCAGTTCAGTACAAACTTTGCCTCCTGGGCTCAAGTGATTCTCCTGCTTCAGCCTCCCGAATAGCTGGGTTACAGGTGCCTGCCAACACGCTCTGCTAATTTTTGTATTTTTAGTAGAAACAAGGTTTCACCATCTTGGCCAGGCTGGTCTTGAACTCCTGACCTTGTGATCCACCCACCTTAGCCTCCCAAAGTGTTAGCATTTTACAGGCATGAGTCACCACACCCAGCCTGATTAGAACCTATCTTAATCCTGTATGACCTCACCTTAATTTGATTATATCTACAAAGACCTTATTTCCAAATATTCACAGATACTGGTGTTATATTCACAGATACTGGTATGGGGTGCTAAGGCTTCAATATATCTTTTAAGGGGAACAAGTCAACCTGTCACAGACTCCAATTTGATGTTTTTCATGTGGGTGTCCAGTTAGCCTGAATCATTTATTCTCTAGCCGTCTTTCCTCACTGGCCTGCAGTACTACCTCTGAGTCCATTAAGTAGATGTGGATGCTGTGGGTCTTTTTCTGGGTTTTCTCTTCAGTTCTGAAGGTCTAATGTTGCATTCCTGAACAAACACCCGCACTGTCCCAATTACCCAGCTTTTTAGCAGGTCTAGATATCTGGCGAAACAGGTCTGCTCATTTTGTTTCTCTTCAAGACTGTCTAGTGGCTGGGCACAGTGGCTCATGTCTGTAATCCCAGCACTTTGGGAAGCTGAGGCAGAGTTTGAGACCAGCCTGGGCAACATAGCAAGACCCATCTCCACAAAAATTAAAAAATTAGCCAGGCATAGTGGCACACCCCTGTAGTCCTAGCTCCTCAGGAGACTGAGACCCATGGAGGACTTGAGCCTAGGAGTTGCAGGCTACAGCAAGCTAGGATGATGCCACTGCACTCCAGCCTGGGCAATAGACCAAGTCCTTGTCTTTTATTTTTTTATTTTTTATTTTTTAAATTTTTTATTGGATTTTAGGTTTTGGGGTACATGAGCAGAGCATGCAAGACAGTTGCGTAGGTACACACATGGCAGTGTGCTTTGCTTTTCTTCTCCCCTTCACCCACATTTGGCATTTCTCCCCAGGCTATCCCTCCCCACCTCCCCCTCCCACTGGCCCTCCCCTTTTCCCCCCAATAGACCCCAGCGTTTAGTACTCCCCTTTCTGTGTCCATGTGTTCTCATTTTTCATCACCCGCCTATGAGTGAGAATATGCGGTGTTTCATTTTCTGTTCTTGTGTCAGTTTGCTGAGGATGATGTTATCCAGATTCATCCATGTCCCTACAAACGACACAAACTCATCATTTCTGATTGCTGCATAATATTCCATGGTGTATATGTGCCACATTTTTCCAATCCAGTCTATTATCAATGGGCATTTGGGTTGATTCCAGGTCTTTGCTATTGTAAACAGTGCTGCAATGAACATTCGTGTACATGTGTCCTTATAGTAGAACGATTTATACTCTTTTGGATATATACCCAGTAATGGGATTGCTGGGTCAAATGGAATTTCTATTTCTAAGGCCTTGAGGAATCGCCACACTGTCTTCCACAATGGTTGAACTAATTTACACTCCCACTAACAGTGTAAAAGTGTTCCTTTTTCTCCACATCCTCTCCAGCATCTGTTGTCTCCAGATTTTTTAATGATCGCCATTCTAACTGGCGTGAGATGGTATCTCAATGTGGTTTTGATTTGCATCTCTCTGATGTCCAGTGACGATGAGCATTTTTTCATATGATTTTTGGCCTCATATATGTCTTCTTTTGTAAAGTATCTGTTCATATCCTTTGCCCACTTTTGAAGTCCTTGTCTTTTAAAAAAAAAAGGAGAGAGGGAGAGATTGTCCAGACTCTTCTACAGCCTTTGCTTTTCCATATGAATCTGAGAAACAGTATGCCAACTTTGTCACAAAAAAGAACTTGGGAGTTTGGCAAGAATTGTGCTGAGCCTATGGATCAAGTCTCTTCTTCCAAGAAGCCTTCCCTCCTCACTAGCCCCATTAGGCTCTCTGTCCCCTCTGGGCTCATACTATCTCCACCCCATTCCATGGCGGTGATCTGGCTTCCTTGACTGGCCTGATCACAGCAAATCACAAGGGTATGTTCCTTTCTAAAGTCTCCTTCATGTCTCCTGCGTGTGTCCATACCAAGATATGACTATGGGGCTGGATCTGAGTGACGCAGTTCACCTGTCTCCACTGTCCCCTCTATAGAGCCAGAGCACTGTCTTAGGAACCCTTGGTATGGCCCTTCCTCTAGTCCCCTACTCAGTCTATGTAACCCTTAAACAAACCGACCAGATCATATCCCTGGGTCTGTTCCAAACCCTCCCCATGGTTCCCCAGCTCATCCAAAGAAAACCCAAGTCCTCATCATGGTTTTTGAGACTCGACACCATCCGCAACCCCTCACCTCACCCTCCTCCTGCCTCTGTGACTCCATCTCCTATATTCTCCACACTCACTCGACCTCAGACACTCTGGCCTCCCTGCTGTTCTTCAGGCCTTTTAGGCACAGTCGTGGGTCACGACCTTTGCATTTGCTGTTCCCGGTTTCTGAAACACTCTTCCCCTAGTTATGTCCCTGGCTTGCTTCTTCATTTCCTACAGATCTCCGCTCAAATAGTATTTTCTCAGTGAAGCCTCCCCTGACCACCCAATATAAAATTGCATTGTCCCCTACCTGTACTCCCACCCTCCACTCCCTGTTTTCTTTTCTTCCTACCATAGCAGGTGTTGCCATCTAACACACTGTCTATTCTTTATTGTGTTCATGTGTGTGTCCCTCCCTAGAATGGGACTACATGCAGGCAGAGATCTTTACCTGCTTCATTCAACAATGTCTAGGACACTGTGGATGTTGAATAAATATTTGAACTGAGAGGGATGAGACTCATGTCCAGCCCAGACTCTTTTTTTGTTTTTGAGATGGAGTCTCGCTCTGTTGCCCAGGCTGGAGTGCAGTGGTGTGATCTCGGCTCACAGCAACTTCTACCTCCTGGGTTCAAGCGATTCTCCTGTCTTAGCCTCCCAACTAGCTGGGATTACAGACACCACCACCATGCCTGGCTAATTTTTACAGTTTTTAATAGACACGAGTTTTGCCATGTTGGCAAAGCTTGTCTTGAACTCCTGACCTCAGGTGATCCTCCTGCCTTGGCCTCCCAAAGTGCTGCCCAGACTCTTATTTATATTCACTTGTGGAGAGACTTTGGGCCGTCCCCTCCCCAATCCAGGCCTGAGTTTCTACATTGGTAAAAATGGGAAAGGGTGTGTGTGTCTTTAAGGGCCCATCTGACTCTGCTGGGTGTGATGGGGAGGCTGTCTTGAGAAAAGGGTGTGCTGCCCCCTTGTGATGAGGTGACTTTTCCCCAGGACCATATAGTCTTAGGCTTCTTCTAACTCCCAACTCTGCCAGGAAATAGTGTTAGGAGGCCACCCCCTGCCTCGGAGTCATCCTTTCTGCTGTCTCACCTCCACTGGCCCATGCCTGCCCTCAGCATTTGAGGCCTGTGAAGGGGCTCTTGGTCTCTGATGCCTTTCACACCAATCGCCCTTCATGTCACTGTGACCCTGTGTTACGGGCTAAATGTTCCTCCCCATTTCATATTTGAAGTCCTGACCTCCAGTACCTCAGAATGTGACTGTATTTAAAGACCGGGTCTTCAGGCCCAGGGAAAAGGTGGCTATCAACAAGCCAAGGAGAGAGACCTCAGAAGCCATTCTGCCAGTTCCTCACTCAGACCTCTCCAGAACAGTAAGAAAAATTTCCGCTTAACTCCACTCAGTATGTGGTACTTTCTTACGGCTACTCTAGCAAACTAATAAACCATGGAACTCACGTGGAATGCCCATCTCTATAGGTCTCCTCTGCCTTGTAAGTCTTAATTTAGGGCTTTCTACTTCTCCCCTGCCTCTCTCACTTCCTGTTCCAGCCCATACTGAACGGCATCTGCTTAATCCTGACCTCTTGCTGGCCTCATGTTTGGGTCCTGGGCTGTCTGTGTCCTGTAGCAAAGCGGCCGCCTCCTTCTTTGCTCAGTAATGCTATGATGTAGTCTCCCGATTCCCAGCCTGCTCTGGACTCAGCTGTTGTGCCTAGGTCTTGCAGCTGCCTTATGGCTGACCACTGCTTCACCATCAGAAAGCCCCAAGGTAGGCTGCTTTATGCTTTTGTATTTCATTTACTATAAATTGTGTTGAAGCAGTTTTGCAGGGTGTGGGCCTTCCTGTAATTTGTTTGTTTTGAGACAGAGTCTTGTTTGGTCACCCAGGCTGCTGGAGTGTAATGGTGCAATGTTGGCTCACTGCAACCTCCACCTGCCAGGTTCAAGTGATTCTCCTGCCTCAGCCTTCCGAGTAGCTGGGACTACATGCCACCAAGCCGAGCTAATTTTTGTATTTTTAGTAGAGATGGGGTTTCACTATATTAGGTTGGTCTTGAACTCCTGACCTCAAGTGATCCACTCACCTAAGCCTCCAGAAGTGCTGGGATTACAGGCATGAGCCACCAAACCTGGCTTTGCCCAAAATTTCTCTACCTCTGACCAGGTGACCTCAAGATGGTCTTCCAGGCTGGACACCATCTCATGTCTGTAATCCCAGCACTCTGGAAGGTCAAGGCAGGTGTTCAGCACTAGCCTGGGCATCATGGCAAAACCCCATCTCTACAAAAAAATACAAGAAAAAATTAGCCAGGCCTAGTGGCACATGCCTATACTCCGGCTACTAGGGAAGCTGAGGTGCAAGGATTGCATGAGCTCAGGCAGCAAAGGCTGCAGTAAGCTGAGGTCACACCACTGTGCTCTAGCCTGGGCAAACAGAGTAAAACCCTGTCTCAAAACAAACAAGTCTTCTAGAAACCAGATACAAGCTCTTCTAAGATGCTGAAAGAGCTGGCAAATTTTTATTTTTCTTTATATAAATTATTTGCAAGGTCTTATATTTTATTTTTTTATTGTGGTAAAATATACCTAACAAAATTTACAATTTTAAGCTTACAGTTCAGTGGCATTAAATAATTCAGATTGTTGTACAGTCATTAAACAGTAACTCTCCATTCTGCCCTCCCCCAGCCCATGACAAACACCATTCTACTTTGTCTCCATAAATCTGACTAACTAGGTATCTCAAATAAGCAGAACACAGTATTTGTCCTTTTGCAACCAGCTTATTTCACTTAGCATAATGTCTTCAGGGTTCATTCATGCTGCTGCATGTAAGAGAATTTCATTCTTTTTTAAGCCTGAATAATATTCCGTTGTATGTACATATAACATCTTTATTCATGCATCCATCCATCAATACATGGGTTGCTTCTCCCTTTTGGCTACTGTGAAATAATACTGCTATGAACATTCATGTACTTTCGTTTTCTTCTGCTCTAACTCCCAACTGAAATGAAGCTAGGCCCTTGACTTAAGTCCTGAAAGGGTTCTCGGTCTCATAGCAAAGGGACCTGGGCTCTACCTTGTGGGTGAAGCCTGTCTTAGAATCCCAGATCCCACATCCCATGGTATCCAGTTCTTTTTTGTTTTTGACACAATCACAGCTCACTGCAACCTCTGCCTCCCAGGCTCAAGTGATCTTCCCGCCTCAGCCTCCTGAGTAGCTGGAGGCATATATGAGCCACCATGTCCTGCTAAATTTCTGTATTTTTTGTAGAGATGGGGTTTGGCCATGTGGGCCAGGCTGGTCTTGAACTCCTGGGCTTCAGCGTCTGCCTGTCTCAGCCTCCCAAAGTGATGGGATTACAAGCTTGAGCCACCGCACCCGGCATCGTGGCCTCCACATTTCATCCCGAACGACTCAAAGGCCTCGATCTAAAGCTTAATACAGATGTAAACCTTTGCTCTTCTCGTTTTCCTTTATCAGTAAACAGCCCCACGGCCACCCAGCTGCATAAGCCAGAAGCTTGGAAATCATCTTCGACGTCCTCAGTCCCCTACATCCATCCATTCCAAGTTCTGATACTTTTGTCTCCAAAATATTCCTAAAATATTCAAAATATTTCTCAAAGTGCGCAGAATATTTCTTTGCCCACTTTTTACTTTCCTCTGCCCTAAGCCACAATCACCTGTCTCCTGGAAGACTACAAAAGGCTCACTGGTCTCCCAGCTCCCACTCCCACTCACTATTTCCAGACCATTCTCTATTATTTATTTCTATTGTTATTATTATTTTGTTTAAAACGGAGTCTCGCTCTGTCGCCCAGGCTGGAGAGCAGTGGCGCGATCTGGGCTCACTGCAACCTCAGCCTCCCGGGTTCAAGCGATTGAACTTCCTGCCTCGGGCTCCCGAGTAGCCTATTATTTATTTCTAAAAGAGATGATACAGGCGTATGATTTAACAATTCCTGCTCTACAGGTCCCCTCACCAGAGGCAACAGGTACTCTTCATTCCGCGGTCTCCTTCCAGATAGTGTGGGCGTGTCCGGGTGCTCACCTGGCCGGATACCTTCCCCCACCCCACTTCCCTATAGGGCCCGGGGCCGCCTCGCTCCGCTTCAGACGCTCCTTTCCAGGCGCTCCCTCCCTACCGTCCGTCTCCCATGGGCAGTGCCTTGCCTCCCAGGCTGGCTGAGTGGGTCAGTCTCCGGACCGTCACTCTTCTGTTCCAAAGCTTGAAAGCCTTCGCAGCTCTAGGAATGAAATCCCCTGCTCTCAGCCCCGACTCCTTCAGGCCAGGCGCCCCCTCCGCACCTTCTCTTAGGGCCGTTTTCGCGTCATCTCTTCCCGGCGGCCCGCCCGCCACGTCATCTCTACCACAGCACCAGTCCTCCACGGCTCTTGACAGTACTTGGGACAGCAAGTTCACAGGTGAGTTCTTACGCTCTTCCTAAGAGGTAGGAGTGCGGCGGGCGGGGCCGACAGGTGGGCTTGGCCCGAAAGGAGGAAATAAGCTCGCGCCCGGCCTCTCACTTTAGTGGAGGAAGACTACTATCCCAGAAACCCTTTCGCCTCGGGCGGGCGAGTTCCTCCCCTCCTTACTCCCTCCGCGCGAAGAAGACTGAGCATGCGCAACAGGGACTGCGCCTGCGCGAAAGACGGCACGAGCGAGGACTGCAACTCCCGGCAGGCCGGTGGCATTTTTTTCATTCTCTCGCGTGACCAGTGACTTCCGGCGCGGAGAGGCGGGGCTGGGCTCACGGCTGAGCCAGCAGCTGGAGCAGCTACGGGAGTGGTCCGGTGGCTGGCGGGCGCCGGCCGCCATGGAGGCCGTGCCCCGCATGCCCATGATCTGGCTGGACCTGAAGGAGGCTGGTGACTTCCACTTCCAGCCAGCTGTGAAGAAGGTGAGCTTGCCTTCCATCTCCCCGCCCCCCATCTGCCGCGTATCTCCGTCGTCTGCCAGCGCGTGACGCCCCCTGCGTGCCCATCACCTCCTCAGGCCCCGTCGTAGGGTCCGGTGAAGCCAGGAGGGGCCTCCGCCGGTTTTCCTCAGCCTGTCCCACATCCCGGCGCCCGCAGGCCATTTTTCTCCTCCTGATCTCCCTGGGCTAGCACCTGCATCCTCATCTGAACCCAATTCCCGACTTCTGCCCGGAGTCATCCACAGCTCCCACTGAGGCTCTACACTTCCTCTTTCTGACGTTCGGGACCCAGTTCTGCCCCGCCCCTCCTCCATGCCAGCACCGCCCCGCGCGGGAGCTGTGGGCGGCCCTGACCGTGCGGATTCTTCCTCTGCACCAGGCCGTCGGTGCGCTGTCAAGTCCACGACCCGCCTGGGACAAACGCTAGGGAATGGCTCAAGGCGTGTGTTTAAGACGTGGGCCCCTGTGGCCCAGGGAGATGCCCAACCCCTGCGGTGGGGATACGTCTTAAAATTGCTGCGATTCTGTATAGTCTCCCATTCGGGAGTCTTTTTGGACCAAACGATACAATCCCATAACATTTTTAGGAAGGTTACTGCTTTTCATAACAGACTGGAGGGCATAAACAGTGTTGTAGAGCTCAGAGAAATCTTACCGTGTTGGAAGAACAGACGGGCAGGTTTGGCGTTGACTAAGGCAAAGAACTTCTGTGGAGAGGTCCAGGTATGGTGATTGAGCACAGGTGCTCTCTGAGACATCCGCTGCATTGGTAGCACTGAGGGCTAGAGCAGAAGTGAAAAGGAACAACCAGGAGGCAGTCGCAGGTGGGGGCCTTGTGGGCTTAGCACAGCAGATGCCAGAGTAAGCCCCAATCTAGATAGTGCACCACTTAGCGAGATGCTTGAGTAAACAAATAGGAAAAAGAAAATGGTCTTCTGGCAGTTCTGCTGAAAAAAAAAAAGAAAATGGATTTGGAAGTAGTTTCCCAAGAAGCTGTCTCCCCTGTTCTCTCCGCACCTCTGCCTTAGTTCAGTGTTTGAGTCCATCATCTAGCCTCTTGGGCCCAGCAAATGAGGCTAATTGATCCAAAATTCTAGAATTTTGTTAACTGCTGTCCAGACGTTGCTCTCTCCTTCATCTGCTCTTTTATTTATTTATTTTATTTTATTTTTTGAGACGGAGTCTTGCTCTGTTGCCCACACTGGAGTGCAATGGCATGCTCTCAGCTTACTGCAACCTCTGCCTCCCGGGTTCAAGCCATTCTCCTGCCTCAGCTTTCCAAGTAGCTGGGATTACAGGTGTACGCCACCACACCCAGCTAATTTCTGTATTTTTAAGTAGAGATGGGGGTTTCACCATGTTGGTCAGGCTGGTCTTGAACCCCTGACCTAGTGATCCGTCTGCCTCAACCTCCAAAGTACTGGGATTACAGGTGTGACCCACTGCACCCGGCTTCATCCGCTCTTTCATACAAATACAATTGAATGAACTTTTAAAAGACACAACAAAACTCCTGTTTTCTATGTTACAGAATAAAGCGAACGAAACTCCTGTTTTCTGTTTTACAGAATAAAGCCAGTATCTTTAGTTTTCCGTTAGAGTTCTTCCAGACTTATCCCAGTTCTTACACCATTAATTGAGTCCCCACTGTGTGCTTGATCTACTGTGTGCATCTGATTAAGGTACCCTAGATTCTCTTCACAGCCACTTCTTGTTTTCTTACTGTGCACCTTTGGTCATGGAATTCCTCCTGCCTAGAAGAGCTCTCATTTTTGCCCTATGGGCTGGTCATGGTGCCCTTCTTCAATTTCTGTGAATTCATTTTCTTCTCTCCCATCCAAATTTCAAGGTCCAGCTTAAGCTCTCCTTTCTACAGAGCCTTTCTTAATCCTTCTATCTGGATTAATCTTTCTCTCCTCTCAGTTCCTTAACTCTTCATCCTTTCCTTGGTGACAGTTATGTGTGCTGTGTTTTAACCCCCCTGATTAATTGTGCGTTACCTGAGAAGCATCTCTGTGTTCCTCAGAGCCTAACAGCAGGCTCTCTACATAGTTGGCAGTCAGAAAAATGTTTCTCAACTGATGGAATGACAGCTGAGATGGAATTTAGAGATGGTGACCATAAATATATGGGAATGCAGTGGATAAAATCTTGGCCCAGAAACTCCTAGGAAGTATTTTTGTTTGAACTTAGCCTTTGCTGCTCTGATCACTCACACCGAGCCCAAACGGTGTTCTGTGACCAGTGACTTCCCTGGAAGCACCTGAGCCTCCAGGAGAGGAGTTGCTCATTAGCCCTTTAGCCTGAGGTAGTATCAGATATGAAGCAATTCCTTTCCTAGACATTGGAGGAGACTGTGTAGACACCACTGCAACCTGGAGACTTCTCCACCTGCACCCACTTCCCCAACTTCAGCGGCCCTTCTCTGCCTTCTCCACTGGTACCCTGGTCCTTTATCCTCACTCTGCCAGTGAATTGGAGCTGAGGGTTAGAATTTAATTTAGGATAAAAGGGTGAAAATTGGTTCTGTTTACATCAACTGGCTAAGTACTATGCTGAACCTGATAAGCAGACAACAAAGAGACAGCCTTTTTTTTTCCCCAAGGAATTCATAAAAATTAGAGTAATGACATTAACATAAGAGTAGGAGTATTTGCAATGTGTAGAAATACCAGTGTGGTCGGGCGTGGTGGCTCACACCTGTAATCCCAGCACTTTGGGAGGCCAAGATGGGTGGATCACGAAGTCAGGAGTTCGAGACCAGCCTGGCCAACATAGTGAAACCCCATCTCTGTTAAAAATACAAAAAATTAGCCGTGCATGGTGGTGGGCGCCTGTAATTGCAGCTACTTGGGAGGCTGAGGCAGGAGAATCGCTTGAACCCAGGAGGTGGAGGTTGCAGCAGCCTGGGTGACCATTCGAGACTCCAACTCAAAAAAAAAAAAAAATACCAGCCTAAGGAGGGGCCATCAGGGAAGGCTTGCCAAAGGTGGATTTTAAAGGATGAATGGGAGTTTTCCAGACAGGTAAAGAGGTTCATTGTTTGAGAGGGCTGGGCTTTTGACAAATCTTTCATGGTGGCTAGTACTGATTTTCACTCCCAGTGGATATGACTTCCATTATGGCATAATGTGAAATAGGAGCCAGAAAAATAGGCTGGTTTCAAACTGCATTGGTAAACTTGAGGTTAGGATATTGGGCCCATGTAATTTTTTTTTTTTTTTTGAGACAGAGTTTCACGTTTGTTGCCCAGGCTGGAGTGCAATGGTGTGATCTCAGCTCACCACAGCCTTCACCTCCCAAGTTCAAGCGATCTTCCTGCCTCAGCCTCCCAAGCTGGGATTACAGGCATATGCCTGTCTAATTTTGTATTTTTAGTAGACGTGGGGTTTCTTCATGTTGGTCGGGCTGGTCTTAAACTCCCGACCTCAGGTGATTCACCTGCCTTGGCTTCCCAAAGTGCTAGGATTACAGGCGTGAGCCACCTTGCCTGGCCAGACCTACATAATTTTTTAGTAGGGAAGTGCTGCTGGCCTGCATCATCTTAACTTGTGCTTTGAAGGCCAGAGTGCTGATTCATTGGAAACTGATCATGGATGACTCTTGTCCTCTTTATCAGTGAGTGATTTGGCCTCAAGTATTACTATTTGAAATTCCCGGCCGGGCGCGGTGGCTCAAGCCTGTAATCCCAGCACTTTGGGAGGCGGAGGCGGGTGGATCACGAGGTCAAGAGATCGAGACCATCCTGGTCAACTTGGTGAAACCCGATCTCTACTAAAAATACAAAAAATTAGCTGGGCATGGTGGTGCATGCCTGTAATCCCAGCTACTCAGGAGGCTGAGGCAGGAGAATTGCCTGAACCCAGGAGGTGGAGGTTGCGGTGAGCCGAGATCGCGCCATTACACTCCAGCCTGGGTAACAAGAGCGAAACTCCGTCTCAGAAAAAAAAAAAAAAAAAATTCTCCTTTCTGGCTCAAACACTTGCCCTTAACCAACTGTACTTGAGCTAAAGTCCAGCTTACTTGGACTGAGATGTTGCATTCATCTCTGATTCATTGGTTGAACAAATAGTTATTGAGTACCTGTCATGTGCCAGCCCTGGGTACATGGTGACAAAAACCTGTGACTTGGCTGGGAGCAGTGGTTCTTGCTTGTAATCCCAGCACTTTGGGAGGCCGAGGTGGGT